CTGCGCTCCTTCAAGCTAAAACAGCTGCCATTGCAAGACATGAATGCGTGTCCAAACGAGGGTTAAGATGAAACCACCAGGAATTGCACCGCAAGTTTCAATCCTTTGCAACCCATTTACCAGGCAAAGCAAAACACAATGAGTACCAGTTTCGACAACCACGCCCATTTTTTCCCAAGAATCTTGACTTCCCGAACCCTGGCTTGGTTGAAACTTAGTCTCCCATGGCCCTTTAGGGACTCCCCAAAAGAAACCTACTGGAAACTTGGACGAAACTCACGTAACCTTACTATGGATTCTTGATGTGCACCCCTGCAAGAGAAAGAGCAGCGACCAGAAAACGAGGCTCCAGAAGTGGGTTCAACACTGATCGATTGCTCTTGGCAAACACTTGCCACTTGAAGGTGACTGCATACATTGGCGCCACCTCTGTCCGTACCCCTGACAAACGCGCAAGCATATGTCATGAAATGCCTTTTGACAAGATGAATTTCTGGATGTTGAAGGAACATGTCCGCGATGCTTGCTGCTTAAACAGGATGCAGGAGGGGGCCAAAAAAAAGAAGCAATGTCATTGGTTCATGAGGCGTTCTGAAGTTCTAAACGATGATTGCAAATCTCTGCAGGCAATTCGCAATCGTGTGCGCCTCGTGGGCGCAGAAGCGATCGGGGTGCACAACACCCCATGGGCTGAAATTCAAAAACAGCCCGAAGCAGTTCCCTGGCAGCATCTCTTGTGAGAATTTACAAGATTTGGCCATTTGCATTTAAAGCCATCCCATGTCAATCGATGTCAATAGTTTCGTAGATATTTTTGTTTATCTTGCGAACACCAGATCTCTCATTGCCGGCTCAAGGCTTTTATCCTGCCTGCGGAGAAGGACAGTAACTTGCGGTCATTGACCCCAAAGACGTCTGCCTCACCTCGCAGCTGGTCCCTAACTAGAGACTCCCAGCATGGTCTCATCGCACGTCAAAACGGCGAGCAGGCTTGTCCGTAACACAGTGCTCCTGATGGATTCCCGAATTTCTATCCTACCAACATGCTTTCTAAATTGCCTCAGCGGAACATCTTGTATGTGTCCACTTTATTTCCATGGTTGCATAGTGGTTGTAATTGTGTTCCACTAACCTGGTGTTGCAAGCCCATCTTAGAACTGGACCTTTGTGCTGGTGATGAATGAAGCAAGTGGGTCCAAGGTTTCTGGAACGCGGGTCCCACAAGAATGTTCCAACAAATGACACCAGGTGTGTACTCATAGCCAGGAACGCATAAACATCGTTGAAACCCTTCTTGTTGCTCGGGTTGGGGTCCAACCCGAATGATAGCAGCTCATCACTGAATGGTTGTGTTTGCTCTCTCTCTCTCTCTCTTTCTATTTCTGCACATGATTTGAGGCTGGCGATGCCAGCAAAATCAAAACAAACCTCTGTATTCAGGCAGAGATAGTATTTTTGATGCCGTGCCAAGCAACTTACATGATATGTCCATGTATTAGCGTAAGCATGGCATGGCCATGTCAGATGGAATGGACTCCAAGATGGGAAAGGAAGGACCGCTCGAAATTGATCAGCGTTTCCGGGTCCTGAACACTCAAGTGGTCCCTTTTCGTGTTGGTGAACTTTAAAGGGAAGCCAACTCCTTCAAAAAAGGAACACAAGGGGCCACTGTGCAACTGAAAGAATACCAGCCATGTCGAGTGGCACCAGGCTGCATCAGCATCAAGATGTGGCTTTGCTGCAAGTCAAATCTGCAGTCAGCAACCAGTTGGAAAGAAAGGAAAACAGGCATGGCCCATGGCACAAATGAACAATTGGTAGCACAGGCTTTGCTTACACGGGCGTCTCCAGCATATCCGAGGACAACTCACAATCGGTGCGTGTGTGTTCGGCCGCGGCTTGCAACCTTTTCGGGAAGCACTGGACGAGAAAGACGCTTGATCAGTTCTTTCTCGTCTAACGCCAGCGACTCGCGATAGATTGGGACAGCCACTTGTTCGTGGCGCCCGGCCTTTCGTCCAACCGCTATGAAGGAATTCAATTCCGCCTACATAATCTAAACGTCAACGACTTGTGTTTTGGAACCAGGTCTGAAAAAAGACCGCTTGAAGGGGTGTGGTGTGAAACACTTGATAGCCGCAAAGGGGGTTTGGGCCTTGATAAGGGCTACCTATACGTGTTTAGGCGGGCAAACAGCCTTGAGGACAGAAAGTTGGTGGCTTGGTCCCTTGTTGAGCCTCACTCGGAGGCTTTCTCTCCATAAAGCTTCCACGTGTTCTATCCAACCCACTTCCTCACTTTCAACCTCCCCGCTTCAACACTCCTGCCCCTACCCCTTTACAAGTTCTTCAACAATGGGCCCGCTAACCTCCAACACGCCGATGAGGGGAGACATGTGCGAGTGGTTGGATATTTGCACTGGTGGAATTGCGTCACACTGATGCGAGCTGGCAAGACCTGGAGTAAGCACCTGAGGGTGCCTCATCTCTTCATGGAACAACTCTGCCAAACAAATGCCTCCAACTCAATTCAGGCCACAACTCGAAACTTGCGGTGGACCTTGGTTCAATGCCTTTTTTTATGGTATGAATCGAACAGCTAGCTGGTACAAGCGTCTTGCCAGTGGACGGTACCTTAACGTGGCGACAGCCACGCCCGAAGGATCCAAAAGGCCGAGCACGGTCAAACAGTCCAGACGTTGCACCCCGTTCGCTCTCTGAATACGAGTCTTTGCTCCAGTGCAATGGCCAAATGCTAAGCTTCATATTTGAAACAACTTAAGGGGCACGTTCAGCGCTCAGCTCATGCAGTGGGGAGGACCACTTCATCATGTGGCCCTCAACGTGGGCGAGGGTAAAGTGCTTTGAAAGCACCTTCAAAAAGAACGGACATTGCTCTGTACACTTGTCAGTGGATGCAATCCATGCAATGCAAACCTCAGCCACACTGATGCAGCGTCCAGGCATACGCATAGTACGCCCTGCATGTTACGAGTATCAACCAAAGGTTGGGGGCTTACTTTGCACGACGACTTCACAAGTCCTCTGAGTTCCCTGACGTCTTCCATAGTCGTAAGTGCATAAGTGAGGCTCATGTTCATGCAACTTCTGCAAATCCTGGGCTCCTGGCGTGATATAAATATTCCTTCACCTGGATTGCAGGTGGGTGCAGAGGACCGATGCGGGTGAGTGGGTGCGTGGCGCGGCTTCAAGAAACTGCAACGCCTATGTTCTGAGCCTGCAGTCAAGTCAGGGTGAACAAGGACATTGCTGGGTGCCGAGGGCTTGTCAGCCTGCGCAACTAATTTTGTGCAACCTTCAAAAAGGGGTACACTCCCACCAGTGAACATGGCTATCAGGGACTTTCAGGACGCCCCGAACGTCAGGCTCCATGCGAACTGGTGGTCATAAACACGAACTATGTGGTCGGGCTCTTGCTCTTCTCATCGCCCCTGGGATGTCAGTGTGTATTGACCTAAACGGGCCAGGATTGAGACCACCTTTTAAAGGAAACACATACGGAGCTCAGTAAGAGATACCTCAAGCCTGGCTTTGCTTTTTGGGGTGGATTTTGAAAAGCCCGGCAAAACCAGGTTGACATCAAAATGTTGACCCCAGATTCATAAATCCCTGGTTCATAAATACGAGGGTGTCCTTTTAGTGGGGAATCCTCACTTTTCGAGGGAGCAACCCCCCGAATAGTAGGGCGGTGGCGTTCATGCAGGGTCAACATGAACCTAAACAGGTACCCTTCCTCCAACTAGCATGGCACCTGTGAGGAGGTACCGGGAAGATGAATTTCCTTTTGTGGGACCCCCTCTCAGTTGCCATGTTAGTGGGAGGGAGGGTAAGGTAGTTGGAGAAGGGGGCCACCCGTAGTGAGACTGAGACCTCCCGCCTAAGGGTTCGGTGTCCAGTGCGGCCAAAGCGGGGAGGATTCTGCCCGCTGGCCGACGCCTCCGAAGTCCTGCAAGGCAGCCACGTGGAATGGTCCGGTGCCGTTGGCTTCTCCCAATCCAACAAATGTCCAGAACAGATGCTGCCCGATTTTCAGGCAAAACCCCTCTCAATGAATTTGTTTTGCATGAGGCGGGCGACGCGGACCGCTGAACGCCAGAGAGAGAGAGAGAGAGAGAGAGAGAGAGAGAGAGAGAGAGAGAGAAAGAGAGAATGTCCAGAATTTGAAACAGGGTTGTGGAACGCAATCCGTTCTGTGATGTCAAAGAAGGATTTTCTGTGATATCAAAGTGGGACAGTCTGAGTATTGTGCCCTAGCGAGCGGGGTAAAAAGATACAAACATGTCCAAGAATCCTCCCGGTGTCATGTGCCGTTGCGGGCTCTGAGTATCATAGGAGTGACAAGAATCTTTGCCAGGTAGCAAGTTAGCAAGGCAACCTTGGAAGCGACATTCCCTCCCAATTGTGACCGGCAGACTGGACTGAACGTTGTAAATTAAATATCACATTTAGTGTGGGCCTTCTTAGTGGACCCCCCCCCCCCAAAAAAAAAAAGACGGAAAAAAAAACCAACGGCGGTGTTTGTTTTACTTTCCTCTTAAAACCAACCAAAGTGTTTTCCCAACAAAAGACACAGCCACAATGCAGATCGGCGCCAATCGAAGCATTGACTTGAGGCAGCTTGAGGCACGCTGTGGACCCCTCTGCAAAAAGTGAGCCACTTTTTGTGGGTCCAATTCGGAAAACCCGAGCTGTTGCAACCAGAACGCAGTCCAAAGATCCAAACACTGGCCATTAAGAACAGGGCGAAACAGGTGCTACATCCCCACCTGACAAGGGACAAACACTAGTTGTGAAATTTATTGTGATTGCTACACGCGCAGAGTGGTTCCCTCCCCTTGGAACAAAGAAGCATCAATAGAAAAGCCATGGGTGACACATAACATCAATGACTGGGACTCACATACCTCAAACCAATCTTCCCACTGCGGTCCCAGTTGGTGGCCCAGCGGGAAGCACCCGGGCATGTGCAACTGTTCGCGTCTACGCATCGAGCTTGTTGCCGCAGTTCGGGCCTCGGGAAACCGCGAACTCCGCTCGAGATAAGATGTCGGGGGGGTTGGGGTCGGGGTGGGGTGCGGCGGGGTGGGGTGGGGTGGGGTGGGGCGGGGGGAGGGGTGGGGTGGGGGGAGGGGTGGGGTGGGGTGGGGTGGGGGGAAAGGTGGGGCGGGGTGGGGGTCGGGTGGCATGGGGTGGACGACTCGAAGCGTTCCCCGTTGAACATGACAGGGTCTTGACAACAAGTCAATTTAAAAGCATGCCAACTTTCCAAACAAGCCCTGGTGATATCCCCAACAGCCCCGGAACTTCCTGGAACCCGGAACCCGCCCTGAAAGCTGCCGCAAACCACCCCATGTGGGCAGAGAACCCATAGCTGTTGGGGAAAATATCTTGCTGTGTGAAACTTCCTTTTAGGTGTCCCGCTCTTCAACCAGTCTTGGACAATTAGGCCACAGTAGAAGCCCTTTTGCCTCCCCCTCTTGCCTGCGGATCTTGTGGCCTTCGAATCATTCACCTTCCCGGAACGGAAAGCAGGAGTGATGGCAGCTTCGCGGTACCTCCCAAGATGTATGATTGAAATGGCTGTACCGAAATTGTTTGACTGGTCTATGTGAGTGAACTCAATGAGTCGAGAATTGCCAAATAGTGAGTGGATCACAACATACTATGACTACAAGTTTATATGACTATAAACAACGATTCCCACACCAAAAGCGATGGATTCTCAATTTCGCCCCTCCTGACCACAGTTTGCTTCCATTTGCTTAAGACCCCACGGAAAATTGATAGATTCCCTTTACAACCAACCAGGGCAAAAGAAACTTAATAAACCCGTCCCAGAATTAGGGCGGTGTTCCCTCCAAAAGTGATGAATCCCCACTAAAACCAGATAATAAACAGGGGTTTATGAATCCGGGGTCAACGTTATTCATTTCCGAAGGAATGGCATGGCCCTTAAGTTGTCACGCCAGAAATGGCCATGGGGCCCTACCTCGCGCTCAGACGAAAGCCTGCCTGCGCGGCAGGCTTTAATGGGGATCTATCACTGGAAATATGTTGTCAGTGTTTGCAGGGGGCTCAACCCCCTTTTTAGCCGAAACTTCCAGGTGGGTGTACCCTTTCCTTCTCCCCAGCTTGCTTTGCAGCGACAACTTGCAGTGCACCCATAGGATGTCAATGAGTCAAACAGAGCTCTTACCAGTATCGCCGCCAAAGAAGAGATCCTCATCAAAATGACCCGGGTTAGGTGCCGTCGACAGGGGATGTAAGCAAACAATCTATTGCGAACGTGGACTGGTGGATAAGAACTAATAAAACCAAGTCTAAAGGCATAAAGGCAAGCCCAATGTCGATTTCTCTCACCGAACCTTTTAATCTCCTGACTCTCTCTCTCTCTCTGTCTGCCATCCAAGCTGCAAAACGTGTAGTTGGTCGAGCGCTTGCACCCGCACCAAGGGCCTTACACATCGAAACCCACCTCCAAACCTCCCACAGCCCTCGCTCCCATGGCACTGACGACACTGACTAAACCCTCGGATCCCAGATGCAAGACATCGAAAACAAAAAACACTTCACAGCACTTGGTATGACAACACACCGGAAAAAAGGAAGAAACAAAAACAATAAGAAATAAATAATCAACTTCACACCACTTGGTATGGCTGCAAAACAACTTGTTTTCGCTTTTTTTTTCCACCCCCCTACTAAGATTGAAGCACCAAACAAGCCACACTTGAGAACAGTGAAGTCAATGTATTTCAGGGTTTCAAACTTCCATCAACCCCCATTTTGCGGGGCTTTGCAACAGTCACGCCAGTGGGCTCATTACTTCCGGGCCTTTTGCATCGGATGGCTGTGAATGTGACGCATTGGGTGAATGCATCTTGAGGCCTATGCCATGGGTCAAAAGCCAAATCGGTTAGCCCCCAGTGAACATCCGATTCAATCCAACCACCAAAATAGGTTCTAAAATGGGTGGTGAATTCACCTTCCCCAAAATGGGATCCCATTGGTTTTGACCCACAGCCATGTCTGCCATGGGCACCCCTCGTTTTGGTCCCCGTTTCCTCTTAACTTCACTCTCTGAACCGGTCGCGGTTTGATTGAGGAACTGAGCGTGGTTCGAATACCAAAAACCGTAATTCACAGGACGCCTGGCTTCCCAGCGGGCAAGCTTTCCCAATGAATTCGTTTGCAAGCTTGATTGGACATCGCAAACCTTGATTCCGAAACAAAACACATTGGTGTCCGACCCCCACATTTGTGGTAACTTGAGCGGGTGAACTCATAGGACGTGTGGGGCGAACCTCGGGTTCTAGTTGCTCGGCCAAGGCACAGAAGTTGCGAACGGGCGGCTGCCTTGGAACTCTGAACATCTGGTCCAATGCAAGCAACAGCTTCACCTTCCCAAGGCAAAAACTGGACTCACAATGGTTGAAGGGATCTCGATTTGGGGAAGCGCAGTTGGATTGGGACACCTGAGGAAACCATCTGGCACAACAAATTCAGGAATGTTAGTTAGCCAAACAGTTTGAGACACAAACGCGAATATATCACAAGGGCTTTCACGGCTCGTCCACGACGGTCCGGGCATCTGCTGAAAAAAAGGAAAGAGGACAGGTTGACGGCTGATCCCTGGGAGAACATACTCCAGGCCAACACCGGTCGGTAAATGACTCCCAAATTGGAGGCCTTCTTGTTGTTTGTTTTGTGTTTCCTGCCAAAATCGTTCACTGGAATGCCCTCCTGGTTCCAGACATCGACATTAACTCGGAATGTGTACCAAGATGGTTGGTTGCGTCGCGTGTTCTCCACCTTGTGAAAATCCCCTGGGCCCACCCGCGCAGGCTCATGCAAAATTTACTTCGTGAGATGCGTGTGCATTTTGACTGCGCAGGTGCGCGCAAAGGGCGTGGCACGCTTTGGTGTCTTTCCAGGGGGCGCTCTCGCTTTGGTGCCATGCGAATTTCGGAAATGGTGGATCCGGACTTTGGGCGTGCTGGAGTACAAACCCAGAAAGGAGAACTCCAGTATACATTTACGTACAAATCTAGCCAAGAGATCTTATCCACGCAGATCTTGCCAAGAGATCTTATCACGAAATCTTGTGCACAGATCCTGGAAAAATCATCGCACAGATATCTTGCGCTGGTCTTTCATCTGGGTCCTCTGCAGAGGTCCTGCTCCTTCCAAGTGATCTAGCAGAGGGTGCTCCATACAGACCAGAGCGCAGACATCTTGCCCAGAGATCCTGCAAATATTTTTCCATAAGTATCTTGCCTTGCGCAGAGAAGATCCCCTCCACAGGTCTTTTCCAATGGATCCTACCAAGAGATCCTGGACACAGACGAGATCTTGCGCAGAGATCCTGTAAAAACCCAAAGATATCTTGCACGGGTCCTTCATAGAGATCCTCCCACAAGGCCGTGAGCAGGACCTGCAAAGATTCCCGTTCAAGAGGTCTTGTAGAACAGGGTCCCTACTTCGTGACTTCTTTGGACTCTGAGGGTTCCTGCGATCGATTCTTTGCGGGAAATCCTACCAACAGATCCTACCCATGCATCTTGCGCAGACATCCTTTAAAGATCCTGCCACATATTTTGCACGGGTCGAGGTCTTGCGCAGGACCTACAAATACTTGTTCCTTCCAAGTGATCTTGTAGAGGGTACCGCAGAACGCTTGTAGAGAGTAATTATCCTACAAAAAGATCCTGTAAACATCCTCCCGCAAATGTCTTGCGCTTGTTCCTTCATAGAGATCCTCTCAACAGATCTGGCGCGGGGCCTGCAAAGGTTTCATGTCCGAACTGACATCGGGTAGGGGATGCTCTCCAAAAAAAGAGAGAACTTGTAGAGGGTTCTCTCGGATATCCTGCAAACAGATCTTCTGCCACCGGCTATACGCCTGCCGGTGCAAGTGCAAGGCGAAACAGCCATTGTAACCAACTCCCCTCTTGCTGACCTTCCCTTACGTGCCCTTGATGTTGTTGCTAGTGGCTCCTCTGTCCAGCTCGGATTGTTGCTTGAAGGTTCCTTTGCCCTTGCGCCTTCGAAGCCTCTTTTTGCAAAGAGATCCTATCCACAGATCCTGCAAAGATCCCTCCACAGAAATCTTGTCCAGGACTACTTTCTACAGATCCTGAGAGGATTCCTGTCTCAATGTGTGCTAATCAATTTTGAACACGGCTTGGGGTCACTTGCGGCACAATGTGTTTTTTGTTGTTTAATAAAATAGGAGAGCATGAGGCAGTGTGGTCCTTTTTACGCCTTTGTTGGGACCAGTGGACCTGTTTGAAGGAAATCCATATTTGCCCACTAAGAAAGTCTAAAACAACTTGTCGAGCCTGGAGAGAACGACCTCTATAAACCATCCCTTGTGGTTGCCTCGAAACCCAAATGCTGTTCATTCCCGAAACCCCACAAACAATTCCCGGCTGGAAACAGGTTGCGAAGCTCACCAAACCCACAAATAAAGTTATAATATAGATCAAACCTGAAGGTGTGTGTGTGTTGTTTCGGGGGTGACATAAATATAGAAATAACAGAACAATGAAAATAGAAATGACAAAACCATAGATCAAACGCGAAGGTGTTTGTTGTGGAGAGTGTTTCAAAGCTGCTTGGTTCGGCAACGAAGGGACCCGCCCCCATCTCTCACCAGGCCACGCCCAAGTCTGCTGCGGCATGTCCTACGGCCGAAAATGGGTAAAGCAGGGCTTTCCAAGCTGAAGACTGGTAGACTAACCATTCCGGGCTTTTAACAAGGACCTTGGTCAACTCTAGGAAAAGGACATCGGGTGTGTCTTGAATTGGGTTGCCTGAAAGGTTGGTTGACTCCGAAGGGATACCTTGACACCCCTTCGCTCCAACTTCGAATGGTTTGGTCAGCCCGGGTTCTCTGTTAAGGGTACGCTCCCTGAGACTAACATGGAAGCTCCCAAAAGGCCTCTGTAAAGGAACCAAGTCTTCCAAAGGGCTCATGGAGGGGTGTCCCTGTCTGTGCCTGATTTTGAATTCAACCCCCCTCCCAGAAGACGGGAAAAACAAGGGGACCGGACTTGGTGATCTTGCAGTCGTTTCTATGCGCGCAGCTCTGTCAGTGCAACCTGGCTGACTGTAAGCGCCGAGTTTGCGCAAACTGAAAGCCGCTGACGTCACGAAAGTTGAGAGCTCTCTTGTGCTTCCATGGTCCGTCAATTTATCTGAAACGCTGCATCCATGTCATCCATGAATCTAATGAGTCTCAGAGGAACATTTGGAATGTTCAAATCTCCGAAGATGACAATGACTCAGGCCCTGCGACCTGAACTTGAAAAAACATCTGAGGTGCACACAA